AAAAAAAAAAAAAAAAAAGAGCAGAAAAGTGCAATCAATCTGAGTGGCAGCGAGACAGAGAAAAGGAAGAAAATGGCCGAAGCTGGAGAGAAAGCACTCGAGCAAATGAGAAGGACACAATGTGTCGGTGTGGCCGAGGATTGTGGAAAGATAACAAACGATAATTTCCGCTGTTGTTGTTCCATAAAGCCCGAGCTCTGCGCTTCACATGCAAATTAACACTGGATGAATATTTTAACATCGTCTGGTTTTATATGTGGACACAAAGTGTTCACTCATGTTGTCACACTGCAGCAAAGACAGAAGTCATTTCTGGTAAACGAGAGCGATCTTTGAATGTTACACGGAGCATAATTGCTCCCGGATCCAGCTCCCGTACAAATTATAATGGTGTAATAATCAAAAACAACACCAAGCAGCCTGCAAATGAGAAGTCAACTGACATTTCAGCAACTGGTACTTTTCGCTGCTGCTACACAAACAGACACGCACACGCAACCATAAACAAGGCAACAGCAACGACATAAAATTAACACCATACAAAATAATCAAAGTTGGGCACTGGAGCGTAGTATTAGAGCAGAGAGGGGAAAATGTTATGTTGTCGTGTTTTTTTTTTTTCTTCCTTCTTTTCCCCGTGGCCTCGCTCTCTCTCTGCGCGAGCAGCGGCGGCACCGCAGCAGCTCATCAAATGGAGGGAGAGAGCAGCAGCGTGTGGCTCCGTGCCGTAAATTAGCCACGCGGTTTGGCCTGCAGCGGTTCACCTTCAGAGGCACACAGTGAATTACACCGGAGCCATGTCAAAACAATTGGAATGCAAATCAAATACCTCTGGGGTGACTTTGGTCTCCTGGGATCCGGTAATCTACCCTCTCCGGTTCCGTGGCTGATTTTAGTTGAGTGGAATATTGATTTCCGCTCAACATTTTGTAAATATTTACCCTCATGGACGTCAGGAAGCGTCAAAACGAAAAGGGGAGAGCTCCTGTATCAGTTTTTTTTTCTCCGTTGGAGGTGGGGATTTGGTTTGGTTTGTCACGTAAATTGTCTTCAGCCTTGAAGAATAAAGCTCTTTCAATTCAGAGACATTAGCCGCGATAAATCTGTTGATGTGGGAGTGAATAGATAAGTAATGAAGGTGACTTTACAGACACGGACGACTCAGTGATTCAGAGGTTAAATGCAGAAACTCTCTTGTCTTTTCAAACGAGACAAACTCAATGACACAAGATAACACAAAGCATGAGATGACTGAGTTGCCTTTTTTTCGTTTGTGTTCATACGTGCATGTCTGAAAACGCTGAACGCAGGATTTCGAGTAACTCCTGGTGAACTCCAGATGATTTTAAAATCTGAACACATGACAGATGAAACCGATTTTTTTATGTTTCAATGGTGAGATCGCTCACAACGATCCAGTCGGGACGCAGAAGCACAAACTCTGAGTTTAACCAAACTATTTCTAAGCAGCGATTCCAGAAACTCACGTGATGAAACGCAACTTCAGAATAAAAACAATTCCACAAGTTTGTCCTTTACTACTTCACACAGGAAACGTCTTATCTACGCTGTAGACAGCCATGTAAACAATATGTCCGGTCGGTGATGCTTCTTTATCAGCTCGCTCTAATTGATTTCTTTCATAGTACACGAGTACCACGGTTTAGAATCAGAAGGCTCAGATTCAGTCTGTGGCATTAATAGATTATGTGTGTAAACTCTGGGATCATCCTCATAACCAGATAATCTGTTAAGGTCAGATTTAAATCGATAACGGCACCGGGATCGTCTGGAGGACAGACTCAGACTTTCGAATCCCCCCAATTGTCCTCTAGTGTGCAGCAGGCATCCGCACATTTCTTCATGTGCTACTCGAAGCAATTAAAACACAAATGAATCCTCAGTCTTGGCAGCATTTTTTCTCAGGTGCTAAAGCGAAAAACTTGCAACTTCCCGGAAGTTATCACCTTTGGTTTTAACTTTGGCAAAGACGACAGAGTAGATGCTGGAGGCCGTGTGGAATTGTATTTATATCAGCCACAGCAGAATTTGGAAGGTGTGTTAGGTAGCAAAGTGTGATACCACTGAGCGTATGCTGTATTTCTGTGCTTGGAAACAAAATGCAAGGTGTGAAATGTGTCAGCTCGAGTGTGCTGGCTCAGTTTTGAACAGATTTTCACAATCTGAATCTTTCAATCAGAACATTTAGGAAAAGGTAATAGTCGTGGCACGATGACGAACGTTGTTCAGCGGTAAAGAAGCTCTTTTCTGTGAAGTGTGCACAAAAACTGGATTCTCCTGTAATTTCTCACCCTGCTAATGCTGAAGACGAAGCCAGGCTGGCCGGAGCAGACGCCCATGAAGCAGAAGCGAAGCTGCCAGTAGAACCAGTGTTCACAGATAAAGGTGATGAGGGACAGAGCCATGGCGGCACCGAGCATGTAGAAGACGCCGGCCATGTTGTCCACGTCCAGCTGGCTGGACATCACCTCGTTCTTCTCGTGGTGGCAGATCCCCGTCAGCCAAAGGGACTCCAGCTCCTCCATCTCACCTAGATGGAGGAAATGCAATGACACGGCAGGAGGGGCGAGATAGTGACAGAGCGAGAGGATGAGCAGAGGAACAGATGGTAGAGAAGAGGAGGCAGCGAGAGGACAGGAAGGAGGGATGGACGGAAGAAGTGATTTTATAATTTGTATGGCAGTTGAAATCAAGAGTGTGTAAAATATAGTGGAAGGATGTGATGTGACAACAGGGAGGACACAAGGGATGGAGAGATGATGCGAGAGGAGAAGAGAGGAGGGGAGATGGAAGGCAGAGAAGTAACAAGTGAATCACAGCTCTGAATTTTGAATTTGACTTTGTTGCCAACAGGAAACATATCACACAATAACTGTGATTCATGGGATTAAAAAAAAAGAAAAAGCTATGTAGATATCGTGTGTGTGGATCTATGCAAATGTGTGTGTTTGAATGTGTGTGTGTGTGTGTGTGTTCGTGTGGCTGCCCGTGCGTCTGGTGCTGGTCCCCGAGCTTCTGGTCTCTTTGTGGGTCACCTTCTGTTTCATCACGAGCTGTTCTCTATCAAAGCCGACTGTGGCAGGACAAGTGTCGGTTAATTAATCATACATTCAGCCGCTGTCGCTGCATGTCAGCGTGACTCCTGCACAGGGGCAGCGGCTGAGCAACAACACGGAGCGCCACCGCATACAAACTGCACACACACACACACACACACTCACACACAGACACTGAAGACAATGTCGTACTACAGCTTAATAATCTTCTTATAGATGGTCACTGCTACTATTTAGTTTGAGCTATTTTAATGGAAACGTCTTTGTTGTTTATTAGAAATCTGAAGCGTGTTCCTGTCTGGATTTGAATCAAGGACATCAGAGTCACATATTTGATACTTGGGAAAAGTTACCGTCAACGAATGTTAATGAAGTCAATGAAATAAAATGACTATGAGCACAATGAGGGAATTTGGGAATTACGGAAATAGTAATTCTTTTAAAACTCTGTGACCTTAAAGCGACAGTTTTGACATTTTTTGATTTCTGCTAAAATCAGATGAAAAGATTGTAACTCAAGTGGTTTTCTTAGCACTCTTCCATTTATCTTTATTATCTTTAATCTTCTTTCCTGTTTCCCCTTTTGTTTTAACTCTTGTCACTTTGCATGGTGTGAAAGTATGAAAAGATTTTCTGCAGAAATAGTTTGATTCAACAGCCAATCAGAAAACTGACAAACATAACCGTGGTTAGATTTTTTTATCTGTGATGTATTTATTATTCACGCCTGCGTCAAACTACCCAGACTCCCTCTCAGCCTTCGTCTCGGACCGACGGGCTGTCCGCGTGAGTCCCATCGCTTTCTAGGCCACCGGGGGGGGGGGGGGGGGGGGGGGGGGGGGGGGGGGCGTGGCAAAGTGACATTGAGAGGGGCGAGTCAGGGCCGCTCGGTTTGCGTATGAACGCTGGTACAGAATCTTACAGTGAGACGACCCACATTCAAGAGTAATCAAACTTATGATCAATAAGTCAACAATACACACACACACACACACACACACACACACACACACATCTGACTGGATCTTATGTAGGTTGATAAAAATAAACCTGTGTCACACAGTCTGAATTTCTGCACCTCTCTCTCTCTCTCTCTC